CGACGATTAAATATTCTACCACTAATTCAAAATGTTCACATTTTAATATGGAAATATTTAGCCACTATGTAAACCAGTTTCGATATGTAATTAATATGAATCTAACCTAATCTCTGAAAAGAGGTATTCATTGAAATAATAAAAATGTTTTTAAAAATCATGATTTTGATTAATTCTGATATTGATACATGGGTTCGTATGGATTAATTTTTTTAATAAAAAATCGTTCTTTCCTTCCGTCCCCTTGATTGGGGACTTTAAGCACTCTTTAATTTATTAATCCATTTATTAATTCACTTACTATCTAAATATTTATATATTTAGTTGAGATATATTTGAAAAAATGAAACTCGGCTAGATGGAAGCTTCAATGAGGAACGTCTTCAGTTCTCGCGCGACGGTTTTGACTTTGACGTCTCTCTCGCTCGCCCCTCTCGTCCTCTCTCTCGCTCGCGGCCTAAGTTCGCGTTATTTATAGCTCGGAAAAATGCGCGTTCTCCCCGTTCCTCGTAGTCGGTGCGCTCTCGTAAATTAAAAGTGGAGAGCCCTTAAATTTCGCACAAAGGCGCAGGCGCGCGCCCTTCTGCAGCGGTCCGTCGAACCCCGCGCGATTCGCTCCTCTTGGGAGAGGCTGCAGGCCGATGAACCTGCGCCGAGCCAATTGCCTTCCGCTTCTGGTTTCTGGCTCTTGGCCTCTTTTCGCCATCGAGACAGGTGCAAGCTTTTTTCGAACGAATTATTCCGTGTCTTTATCTCCCTCTTTCCCGTTTTACCTGTGACTCTAGACCTTGCCTTATTCGAGTGAAAGATATTTTTTTGAAGAAAATTAGTTTCTGAAGAAAATTAATTTAGTTAATTGCTGAAGAAAATTATACCGATGAACCTGCGCCGAGTCGATTGCCTCCGCTTCTGGTTTGGGGCTCTTGGCCTCTTTTCGCCATCGAGACAGGTGCAAGCTTTTTCGGCTGAATTATTCCGCGCCTTTATCTCCGTTTTCCCCATTTTACCTGCGACTCCAGGCAACCTTCTTCGAGTGAAAGCCATTTTCTTAGAAAAAAATTAGTATCTCAAAACAATTTTTTAGTTTCTGAAAACAGATCAGAAGAAAATTAGTTGTTATCTTTTAAAAAGAATTAATTTAAACGAATTATGCGAATAAGTGCACTGTGACAACATTTACTTACGGCCAAAGTTTTACAGTAAATATTATGTGCATCGACGCGTTGCCATAGAGTAACAGCTTCGCTTGCATGTTCCTTTACGCAAGTGTCTACATTTTTCTTATATCGCTTTTCCTCTCTTTACACGGGTTTCCGGAGTCAACACGTAAGACCTCCAAAGGAAAGCTACTATATTTACTTAACGGTGCAACGAACAGCACCTATGCGGTTTCGTTCCAGCTGAATGGTACACCAAGCACGAAGTACTTCACCAAAGAAAAAGTCGGACGGAATTGTTATCCGTATACCATCCACATTTCGAGCTACCCCTTTTCCGCCATTTTAACGTCCCCTTTTTCGCCCGTTATCTCCATTTCGGATCGATCCCGGATTTTAAATACATTTTCCTTGCTACTTTTGTTACCCTCGCGCGTTATCATTCTAGAAAAAAGACGCCACACCAACACGTTTGTTGCTCCTTGTCACAAATACGTGAATTTATCGTATGTTTGTAGCCTAGCAAGATGGCCGCCATAGTCTCTCCCCTTCCGTTCGGAGCTTGTCTAATATCTCACTTTATGCTCCATCTATCTTTTCATAGATCCATAATGACGAAAACACCTTCGTAGACGACGAAGACACTTGGTGTTGCATGGTAGAACGTCTCATGGGGAATTCGCTACGGGGAAATGCGAAGCTTCCCCATGGCGCTCGTCACCGGCGACTTAATCCGCACCGTTTCGTGAATATCGTATGACGCGTCTGGCTATTTTTTCTCGGCCCCGTGAGGGGACCTTAGGAACGTGCGCACGTACACCAGGCGTAAGTCGATATGAACTTTTCGAGGCGCAAAAAGGCCTGAGGACAAAGAGTACCGAGGACCACCCGATGGACCCCATCGCTGATGGGAATTCGGTTTCGCGCATTTTCCCTCGGTTTCTGATTTCCGATTTTATCGCTTTTTTTAGCCATGCTATTCCCCGTCTCGATCTATTCTCCGTAACATGTATGAAAATAATTCACAGTCATAATAAAAAACTTTCCTTGCTACGAAAAATTTAGAAGCTGCTGCTATAAACATTCCACATTTCCAATCGGCTTCTGATTTTCAATTTTATCGCTCTTAGCCACGTCGCTCCCTTCCTCGATCCTTTCGCCATTACATGTATGAAAATAATTTTCAATTGTATCAACAAACTTTCCTTCCCTCGGAAAATGTAAAGATGACTGAAAACAATTCTTATCCATAATAAAAAAATTGCTTTGCATCGGAATAGTGTAAATACTCCAAAATATGCCAGCAACAGTTTTATGTGAAATGTCAACTTTTACAAAAAAAGAAAAACGTCTACGAACAAGTTACAAAAAAAACGCAATTTCAATCGAAACGATTCGATACACTCAATTTGGAGGAAAGTTTCGCAAACGAGTCCCATTTTTACGTCACCTTATATACTTTCGATTTTTTTCTTCAACAAATCGAGGCATAATTTCTACTAATGACCAATATCGAATCAAGCCCCATTCGCGTGACCGTTCTTGCTCCAAATTTAACAACCTTCCAATTCGCATGTCTTTGATTACTGCAGATATCAATTTAAATTCGCTTCATTCCAATAACCATACCTACTGCTATTTTCCAGTCGCCATTTAAGCGCGACTCAACCAATATCGTACTTCCTCTCCTAATTGAAAAATTCCCCATTTAATAGTCGCGCTTTCATTGCCAATTTTCCTGTCCTCTATTTTAAGCGTATCGCAGTTTAAATTGCACCAGCGAGCTGTGAATTATAAGCGAGGTGTACCCCAATTAAAAATTTAATCCGCGAAATCGTCGTAGCAACTTTTCTTCCGTTTCGTCCTTCTCTTTCCTAATCTCCACCCTGAGAACAGAATTTCATTGAACCAAAGAAATACCCTGTTAATTCAAAGAATAATTATTTATCTTAGATAAATTTAAATAAATTGCCATAATTCGAAAAAAATGTTCCATTCCCTTTATTAGAGTTTGAATCAATTATTCTTTATTAAATATTTCTTTGGTACTATTTGAAGAAATGTTCCTTTCTTTTCTCTCGGTGCACATCTCTCTCCAGTCGTATGACCATCATCGGAATTTTCTCCACGGTCGCACCGTCATACTCGTCCAGCATCCGGCAATTAAATCTCGCGCGTAACTCGGCTTACCGCTGGATAATTTGCCACTTTGGAAAAGTGCATGAATTTTACGAGTGGCGCGCCATTTTACTGGAGCAGCAGGAGAGAGCGGTTCGGCTTTCAAAGCGGAAAATTCCCTCCCGTCGTTTTATTCCCCCCACGGAGATGGAATCTCGGTGGAAACTGCATTTTCGGAAAATACAAAAGGAGGTCCTTTTAACAGCACCGCTCGATTCACCATATACGATTCCGTGTTCACTCGCTTAGTTCGCAAAGCCGCCCTTTACGGTGGAAATTCATGGAGCCGTAAACGATGAAGGTGCCCTCGTAACGTTTGCAAGATTAATTCCAACCGCGTGATTTCAGAGGATTTACCGACAATTTCGGCCACTCTCGATGGAAATACTGTCACAGTACCCTGAGAAAAAGGATTCATTGAACCAGTAAAATATTTTCTTAATTCAAAGGATAATCATTTAACTGAAATAAACTCAAATGAATTCTCATAATTCCGATGAAACGTTGCGTCCAATTTATTCAAGTATACTTGAGTAAAATACATATTCTTTGAATTAAAAGAAATATTTCTTCGGTGTAGTGAAATTTCCTTTCCCAGTATAAGAAAATCGGTAGTCGCTTAATCGAGGCCATCGCGTTTATAATTCCAACTATATGACTTTTGGAATTATATAAAAAGAAAATATACCTTTTATATGAAATTTTCGGGATATATTTAACTACATTACAAGACCAACCAATTCTTTTTTAATTTTTTTTAATGAAACTTTAATCTTCCAGAATTATGCGTAATTTGCTGGAGAGTCAGAAAATAAGTTCCTCGACAATAACCATAAAATTTCCATCATTAAATGAAAATACTCTTCTCAGAAAACCGCGTTTAAAATTTTAAAAACATCCCTTAAGTCCGTAAAATGAAATCCTTAAGACTGAAATTTAATCAGTCGTTCCGGGGCCGTGCAGTCAACACTTTCCATATTTCCATACTTCCTTCTGATCGATAAAAAAAAAATCGATCATGACAACCCTCAACTTAGGGAGGTCACTCATGCCGTCGTGGTGTCTCCTCGTGCGGAAGTCGGCGCGAGTGCAGTCTATCACATGCGAGCAAGAAGCCGAGAGAAGGAGAGCGAGAGAGAGGCAGCTAGTACCTCGCAATGCGAACGAGAGAGATGCAACGAGCGTCGCGCTGTGAGATTGAAACAGACGCAGCGAGTACCACGCCGCGCGAGTAAAAGAGAGGCAGCATGCGCTGCATTACGTGAATGAGAGAGACACAGCGAGCGCCGTACTACGTGAATAAGAGAGAGCCAACGAGTGCCGCGCTATGAGAATGAGAGAAAGGCAATGAACGTCGAGCTACGTGAATGAGAGAGAGGCAACGAACGCCGCGCTACGTGAACAAAAGAGATGCAGCGAATACCGAGCCATGCGAAGGAAAGAGAGAGACGCAGCGAATATCACACTGTGCGAGAGAAAGAGAGGCAGCGAGCGCCGCGCCACGCGAACGAGAGAGACGCAACATTCACCGCGCCACGTGAACGAGAGAGAGGCACCGAGCGCTACGCCACGCGATCGAGAGAGACGTCGGCGCGCCAATGCGCGGGTCCGCCGCCAGGGGCGCTGCGCAGTCAGTAAGAAAAAGTCGGCGCAGCCGAGCAGATAGCCGTGGGACCGTCTGGCGAGCGGGTGACGGGCTCGCACCCGCGTCTCTCGTGAGAACGTGCCTCGACTTCTCCGACGCGCCGTCGCGGGGGTGGAATGCGGCTCTCTTCTCCCCGGAAAGTTGGAAATTTTGAAACCTTGACCGGTACAAGGGTGTATGCGTGTCTGGCGACATTCATTGGGTGAGATATCGAGTGGTATATCAATTCTCGAATATCAATCGGCTAACGCACCCATTGTGGGGTGGAAACGTTGGATTATTGTAGGTAATCGGGAGCTGCTTATAAAATTCCTGTATTAAATTTGTAGAACTGCGGAGTGGTCCAGTGTCGACAGGTGTGCACCCAACAAACGTGTCTGCACCCAACAATCAGGGTCGGTGTTTAAAAGTGGAAGGCCAAGTAGGTTGATCTATGTGCCTTCATTTTGGGCTCATAAATTAGATGTAGAAAGATACAGTCGCGTTTTTGAGTAGAAGACAGGATGGCAAGGAATTGTCGGTGACTCTCCAATAAGAATCCACTCCCTCTGTTGACCCTATCGATGCCAACGCCAAGGAAACTCCATTTTCGGAAAATCACCAAAGTTTAGGAAAGTTCTAAGCGGATAGCACTTGTACGAGTGACCCCCAGAGAATAGCGAAGTGTGGGCAACAATAAATAATGTATGTAAATCGATGTAATTGGTGTATATAAAATCAACAAAAAAGACTGAAGGTAAATAGCAACAACGACGCCATCAACTATGTCGACGTGTGTTAAACACTGACAACGCTCTGAAAAGTGATCTCCAGAGACCAGCAAAGTATTGGCAACAATAATCACGTGTACGTGAAAGGTCGATGTAATTAATGTACATAAAATCGACTAACAGGGCTCTCGAGCTGAAAAACAACATTAACAATGTCAACACGTTGGATGAGGATCAGCGGGTAATGTTGACAAGAATAAACATGTGTGCGTGAAAGATCGATGTAATTGGCGTACATGAAATGAACTAAAAGGACTCCGAACCTGGAAAGCAACAACATTAACAATGTCGACACGTGTGGGACGCGGGTAGCTCCAACTCTAATAAGTGACCCCCACAGAAGATGTTCACACGAGATTGAACACGTGTGCATGAAGAACCGCGTAAAAATGATCTGAATAACCCTGAGTAAGAAGACTTTGGAGCCAAAACAGAAGAGCAGCGACAACAATTCTGGGTTCCTAAGAGAGTGTCAAGGGAGGCCAGTGGTTTTCCTGCCAGCAAGGCACGCGTAACTGGACCCAGAGGTTTTCCCTCTCTTCGAGCCGATCCTCGGGAAGACGGAGGACAAAGGAGAGAAGACGAGCCCTGGAAGAAAGAGAGAGGGAGAAAGGCGCAATGAGCGTATCGATTGCCCTGACCGCGTAGGCTCTCCTCTCGCGTTGTCGCGGGAAAAGCCGAGCTGGATGACTCCTAGGTAGCTAATCAAGATGTAAATCCAGGGTTCTGATCGTTCTGATCAAAGTTCATCACCGTTGCCCAAAAATCGAACTCTGTACTTGCTTCTTCGTGGGATAAGTCGAGCTGAACGATTCTTCGGCATCTAGCCAAGATGTGAAGTCAGGATCCTGATCGTCCGAATTATTGATCATCTCTGGTGGGAACGACCGAGCTGAACGACTCCTGGGTAGCTGGCCAAGATGTGAATCCAGGATCCTGATTATCCGGACCGCCGTGCACTCAAAATTCGAATCCAGGCCTCGCGATGTTGACTCTGGAGAACATGGACGGTTCCCCAAAGCGTCGGTCCACCTTCTATGTGTCTCTAGATGGAGAATCGCGACCACAGTCGGCAAAGACCCCGAAACTCGCCAAGAGCAACACCTCGACTGGTCTGGAGGACAAGTTCTCCTGCAACACTTTCCCCATAGGGACCTCAAAGACCATCCTGACGAGGACCTTGAGCAACGAGGGCCTCGTTGGGGATGATGGGGTTGGTGGACCTCCAGAATCTTCCGGCAAAGTGCAGTCCTTGACCAGGATATTCGAGGCCCCAAGGTGCAGTCTAGCCGAGGCTCTGGAGCAAAGGAAGAAGGTCGAGAGGACAAGGTCCTTCAAGACCATCGAGAAGTTCCAGAACAGGCTCGCGGGGAGAAGGGACACCATTGGGGAGAGTCCTGGCACCGAAAGACCAGACTGCAGGCTGAATGTAACCCTGGGGTCTTTCGAGGATAGGACTGCACCTGATCCTGGTAAAGGACTCATCTGCAAGGAACGGAATCCCGTCCGCGGAAAGGACGCGCGACAACCTACGGTTTCTAGAACGGAAAGGACCAGGAGTATCGAACAGAAACCTCCGAAGCAGAATGTCGCTTTTGGGAACCTTATTCGCAGGACTCATAGTACTAAGCTCGCCAGGAGCACCAGCACCTTGGTCAGGACCTCCGGGAAGTATGCCTCTGCTGAAGCGGACGCCTCTGGACGTCGCGACGCCGACAGAAACGCCGAAGATGGCTCGGTTGGCCCTGAAGAGGACGCCGGAGTGCACTCAGGTACGTTGCTTTGAGAGAACGATAAAACGGGAGATTATCGTTAATGGGTCCTTAGGGTGATATGAAAGCAGCGTCTAGGAGAGCCCTCGATTATGTAACTTTTCTACGAACTGGGGGCACCGAATCGTTTAAAATCTTAACATATGAATGCGGAGACCCCGAGAAAGGTCCCTGCACCCATAAAATTCCAGTTATCACCGAAAATAATAAATGTTTATAAACAAATTTTAAAAAATTTGAAATTTCATGGGCATAGGAACCTAAGGCCCCCGTATACACGCTTGACATTTTAATACCGGAATGCGAAAACTCTGAGGAAGGTCCCTGTGCTCATGAAATTCCAATTTTCACCGAAAATAATAAATGCTATAAACAAATTTACTACAAATTTGGAATTTCATGGGTACAGGGACCTTCCATAGGGTCTCCACATTCGCGTGGTAAAGTTTCTAAGGATTCAGTACAGCTTGTTCGGAGAAAAGTTTTATTGGTAACTTGACGCCCGACAGACCACTTTCGTATCGCCTTAAAAAGTGATTCAGGGCAAAGGAGGGCTCGAGACGACTAATGTAATGGCAAGTTACGGGTGCCTTGCACACGAGACGTGCAATGATCGAAGGGTTATCATGGCATTTAAATTCCGTTACATCCTGCAGCGTTAAGGCTGCGTTATCGACCTGATGGCGATTATCTTGACATAAAATTGACCGCGTTATCTACTTGGGAATGACTCGCGTTCCGCGCTTGATATTCCGATTCGCGTCGCAGGGAATTAGGAGAATTGCAGGAAAACGATTCCAAGTCGACCGTTTGGTTGCAGTCGTCAGGAATTGGACGCAATTTTTCAGGTGTATTTGTAATCATCATGAGTTACTATTACGTATCGATACTTGTCAGAATCGAATTGAGCGACGTTTCATCCACTTAGCAGTTTCGACGTTCACCTGTGCGGTTCACCGGCACTCGGACGCAGCTGACTTTCACGCTGACACGAGCGTATCGTCGATCTGGCATTGATACACGGGAACTGAGTATCGAGGCCTGCAAAGTGGATCAAACGCGCTCGACAGAGGGGGAGAAAATTCCACTTTCTACTCAACGCCGCCATTTGATCCGTCGAAGCGTTTCCGCGTGGCGTTACCTACCTCATATTAGAGGATTATTGGATCAGCCGATTATTTATTAAGAGGACTTGAAAGTGGCCTCTGAAATTCCTTACATTGCTAAGGAAACTTTTCCTCAAACTGGATGCACCGAATCGTTCGAAATTTTATCACGTAGATATGGAGGCATTAAAAAAAAATCCTTACACCCCTGAAATTTCAATTTTCATAAATAATTTTTAAAAAGTTTTTCATGGGCGTAAAAACCTTTCTCAGAGACTTAATATTCAAGTGGTACAATTTCAAATGACTCGATACATCCAGTTCGACGTAAAAATGTATAAGTGAGATTCTTAAGCGCCACTTTGGTATCGCCTTAAAATCCCCTGAATTATATTTTTTTATGAAATTTTTCGTTCCAAAAAATATAAAGTTGCTTGTTTTGTTTCGCGGGTGTACTTTCGAACTTGTTGATCTCTCGACACTCTTACTTTCAGGCGATTTCATTTATTGGCTTTGGTTGAAAGCCGCTTGAAATCGCCGTTACGTATTCCGGCCGGCTTAACCTTAAACGGAACGCATGCGCGCTACCGGCAACGATATTGTGATCCATGTCGATTACATTCAGACTCGAGCGATGCTTATCTGTAACGAGACCTCGAAAGTGGAGACTCATTGTAACAATCGATTTCACGTATTTCGAAAATGGTTGATACGAGCCTTTCAAAGTAAACGATCAACCTTTTGCCCTCTTTTCTCAAAATTGTGAATTCCCCTCCCGACACAGCTGTCAATATAAAAACGAACGTCGGCAACGTAAGCATTTAGAAAAATCTTCTTCATCGACGTCGATCAAGTTGCTCGACGTGTTTCACTTCACCTTAAAGCTCGTCTACCGATATTGCCGACACACGTAGAAATGGCATTCCTCCGCTGCAACGTTACGCGCATTACTCAGTTCGCAGATCACGTAAACGTCCCTGAACATGCCGAGGGATTCGGCCAAGGCGCATAGACGGAACGCGCGCGTCTCGGTCAAGTGAAAGGGCAAAAAGTCGATCGATCGTGATTCACGATCGGAGAGGGGACACGCCAAAGGAAGTTTCGATGAGCGAACCGTAAAGAGGTCCGGTTCGCGACGAACCCGCCGCGGAAGGGACCCATGGGCCGATTTCTTCATCTCCCTCGGTCCTGCGGACAAAATTCAACAAACTCGCGATACGACTCGAGGGAAGCTCCCTGGAATTTCTCAATTAACTTCGCGGCCATCTCGTGGATTCCCCTCGGCAACAGATTTCGGTCACGCGAGTCCTTCGTACTCGATTATTGCCCTGAGAAAATAAAATAAGCGCTGCGCTTGTATTTATGTATTTGACGCGGAACTCTACCGAGTTTCTTAAAGGGATGCGAAAGTGGCATCCGAAGGGTCGATCGTTCGTGAAACTTTTCGCTGAATTGGGGATACGTTTCCGATTTTCCACCGTGAATGTGCAGTTTATAAAGAAGGTCCTGACACTCATGAAAATTCATTTCTCGTACCAAATTTTAAAAGTACCTGTAATCAAATTAAAAAAAAAAAAGGATTGAAATTTCTTGAGTGTCAGGACCTTCTTTGTATTTTCCATATTCACATTGTAAAGTTTAAAACGATTCGGTAAACCCAGTTCGAAGAAAAGCTTCATAAACGAAACCTCTTCGACGCCAATTTCGCATTACCTTAATTCGTCGAACCAAAGAAACATTTCTTTGACTAGTACTAAAGAAATGTACATTTTAATTTAAAGATCGGCTCAAATAAGATGTCACGATTCCGAAGAGACGTCAAATCCAATTCATTCGATTTTGAGTCAAAATTTGAACTTGCATCAATATTATAACGTTATATAAAACATCAGCATATGATTATGGAGGCCCTAAGGAAGAACGCGATACTCATGAAATTTCACTTTTCAAAGAAAAATTATGTCCTTGGTTCTAGTCTCGGACAAAAAAACACACTTTTTTTTTAAATATACACTGTATATATTTGGTAGAAAATTCCCGGAAATATGTTCTCGGATATATTTTATACCCGAAAGTTATCTGTCTCCGTATATATTTTTCTTATACACATAAATTTACTTCCTAGTCGATTGGTCCCGGTCTTGCATTCGCTCGTCACTAAACGCGATTCTCGACTTCCGTAAACCATCTTGCGACCAAGTTTCGCAATAACCTCCTGCTACGTGGACGAATTTAAATTAAGCAGCTCGATTGGCCGTCGCGGTTCACGTTATCAAGCCTCAAAGGAGAATCGCCCCTTACATCGTCCATCGACTAGTTTCAGAGTTCCTTCGAGGGGAATCGACCGTTATCCTTGCCGAGTCGTCTCCGCTTTCCTGATCCTCCCCCTCGATTCGTAACTCGATCGAGCGTTCGGATCCGCCTCGAGGTTCTCTCTTATCAAGCCCTCTTGTCGGCTCGGAAGAACCGCTCTATCGAGTTGCAATGTACTTCCGGGCTGTTTGCCGCGGTTGGTTCCGAAACTGGCTTCGGGGGAATTTCCTGCGAGCGTTTCCGAGGTAAGGGAACGGTCAGGATCAAAGGGAAACTGCCGATCGCGCGTACAAATTACAAAACGAGCTCCTTCCTGGAGAATATCAAGATGTTTCCAGGAAAAGTCGCCGTTTCCACCGTTAAGATGATGTGAATGGGTCATTATATATATAATGCTCGGTGCACTGAATCATTTGACAATTCGCTATAAGAAAAATGTACAACTGGAGGCGAATGAATTTTGGTCATATATGAACCTAGTAGACTTTTACTTATTTCTACATTTTTCGTTTAGTTGAAAGTATCTCATTTTTAATTCCCGGAAAGAAATAATTATTTCAGCCAATGAATATTTCACTTGAGCCAATTATCCGATTTTTAAATAGGCACATTTATTTGATTTCAAGTACCTCATTTTTCTCAGGGCGGCACGTGATTATGGAGACTATGAGGAAGAACGTGATATTCATGAAGTTTCATTTTTCAACAAAAATATGTGTCCTTGGCTCTAGTCTGGGATAAATAGAAAAATTTCTGTTTGAAAAATGAAATTTCACGAGCAGAAATGCTGCACTAAATTTATTCGAGTTTATTTGAATTAAATAATTTTTCTTTGAATTAACCAATATGTTTCTTTGGTACTATTCAACAAAAATATTTCTTTGGTTCAGTGAATTGTTTCTCTCAATATAATTCAGCAAAGAAATATTCTTTTGGTGCGATCACATTTTTTTCTCAGGGTACATTTTCAAACCGGGAGCATTTTTAGACCGGAGGCTTCCCTCCACGCTTTTTTGAAAACGCGTTCGTGACGAATTGAGAATTCTCGTTAGGGTCGCCGAAAACATGGTGGGGATAAGTTCGATTGGTAATCGACACTCGGTGCGTGTCAAATTCCATCAGCCCTACCTCTTTCTCTGGACCGTGGAAAATCGCCAAAAGTCACGGGAAAAAGAGTCGTCATCGGTTTTCCGGGTTTTCGGCGGTTGATGGAAAGAGCGGCTACCCGATCGAAACCGTTCCACGGTTGAAAGGTTTAATGGCGATCGCTGGTATCGCTTTGTATGTCTAGTGACGAACAAATGCAAGATCAAAACCGTGGAAGTCTTGGTCATGGTCATGGTCTCAGATTCTCGAACGTTGATCATGCATGGTCGAGTTTTGGTTTTGAACGTTCGAGTATCGATCTTACAATTTCGAGTCTTGTCCTTGCAAGTTGTAGTCTTGATCTTGCAATTATATTCACGTCTTACTCTTACACACTTAGCAAAATCGCATCGCCAAGATCGATTTTTCTCATCACTAAAAGATAGCGAGGAGCAAATTGCGAGTCCAAGACCAAGTCCAAGTTTTCTCATCACT